CCCCCCACCCCTCTATTAAGTTTCAGTCATCCTGTGGATGAGCTTTCTGCTCGGTCAGTCCTCGTATCACTGTTGTTTCATCTCAGCCTTCAGGGAGGCAGTGCTAGTGGAGGAGAGAAAGAAAAACAGCCAAAAAAAAAGAGAAAAAGACGAGAAAATGAAAATAGAAGGGGAAAAGCTACAAAAAAAAACCTGAGAGAGTGGGAGGAAAGAAAGTGGGCGAAAGAGTATTAATAAACTGAAGACTTTGTTGTTGTTTTCAAGATCATGACTGTTCTGTGGCTTAGTCAGCAGGAGGCAGCGCAACATAGAAGTACTGGCAACTATCTAATCTGCTCTTTTCTAACATTGAATACGCCTTAAGATAGCTGGGTCGTGAGCCAATGAATCTTTCTACTCATCAAGCCTGTAGGTCATGGTGTCAGCCACTATCAATACTCTAACTGGCTGATCTAGTGCTGCAAAACAACTGGCTCCAAACATTACTTACCCAGTCTGCTCAGAGTAGCTTTTCTGGTATAAAGTTTCCCATGGCACCAGCAGTTTAGAATAAAGCAATGTCAGAATGCGTGACAATCTCCAGTTTTATTCGAGTTTGAAGCTGTTTTTTTTTGGAGGATTTATCGGTTGAGAGAGCAGAACAATATTCTTTGAGCAGACCAGTGTCCATTTGTTTAAAACGATGGCAAAGTGCACCTTTAATTATCTTTTAGAAAATAACTAACTATCTTCACAACAGACAACATCCCACCCAGAAGTGACCCACACTGTGGGTTCAGTCCATTATCACCAGGGATGGACAGATGTCAACTTCAGGGGTCCTGAATTTGCCCGAGTTGAAAGGTTTGTCAAAGTTTTCTGATTCTGCTGAGTGGCAGTTCTTTTAATATCAATACGTAGAATGTAAGTGCAGCACCTTGGGGCACAATTGCTATACTCGAAAAAACAACCAAATGACCACTAAGCAAGTCATTGCTAACACCGGTGAGAAAACATGAAACCAAACATCTAGCTCACTGCTCCGAGACAGTACTGATTCATCATCCTTTATTCGCCTATTCAAAGGTACTCAATTAGCTGTAGGGGCTGCTGCTGTAGCTCAGAAGCTGCTTACACTCAAAAGCTCACAGTCTGGCATTATCATTGTCACAGACCTTTGAAATCAAATCCAGCTTTTTTTTTAATCTTCTGTCTCTATTCCATCTCTCTTCCTCCCCCAATTCACTCCCACCCTCCATGACTAGCACGGCTGTCTCACCCTTGTCTGCCTTTCCTTCGTACTCTGGCTCCCCATCTCTCCCTCTATAGTTCTTTCTCTTCTGCTGTCCCTCCCTCTCTCCCCAACCCTGTCCGCCTGTCTGTCTCTCTCTCTCTCTGTCTGTCAGGTTTTTGGATATTTACTCCATAGTTTAAGCAAACCCAACAGCCAGCTACAATAGTCTAAAATCTGAAAGGAAGGGGGCAGCATACAGTTCTTTTTTTGGGTGCGGGGGGGGGAGAAGAGAGGAGGTGGGAAGTGTGGTGTCGAGGGGTGTGGTGGAGAATTTCATTTTAATTTGAACATCCTCAACACAGTTACACATTCCTTAAAAGCCTAGAAGGAAGCAAGAATATTTTCAACATAAGCTCACTCACTCTATACTGCCAGACAACAGAGGTCTCTGTGGCTAAAAAAAAAAATCCTTACTTACCTCATTGAGATTGTACACTTGCATTTTTAACCGTGTAGGTAGAAACAGAGGCCAAACACTGTTTTGAACTACTCAGTTCACACATGTAGTGAAAACAGCATTGATACAAGCATATTTGTGTTAAAGTAAAATGCACATCTTTCCATTCGCAGCACTAACAAGAACACACGCACAAAAAGTTTCAGGACCATACAACAGCTGCTAGCTGTGTTTCCAATGCCTGTTACAGAGATCGCATTTCATGGCTTTTTTGTTCCCTCTCCAGCTGGCTACCTTCCACATACCTTCGCCCACAAATCTCTGCCTTGCTGTGAACTTTGACCTATCTGCTGGTCTGCTTGAGTCATTCCCAGAAAAAGAATACTTACCGCCCAGACATCAGGGATGAGAGAGAGGAAAAAAAAAATGACCAGTGTTCAGCAGCCATTTCCATTCTCCTGTATAACCCACCAGTTTTGGATTTGCATTCTTTAGACATGCTTTCATTCACTGTGGCTCAAAGCACAAGCACAATCTGCAGTGAGAGGGTTATCAATTGATTTTGAGCTAGTGGACTTTAAAGTGACAATGGTTGGAAAGCACTGGTATGGCAATAACTTATTACTTTTGCTGTGATATTAGAGATTTACGAAAGCAGTTTTCTGGCTGAGATAGAAAGAAATTAAAGCAACATTTTAAGAGCCTTTCGCTGAAACAGGCCATTCAAAAGTACTTTGCGGCCAATTAAGCACTTCTGTTGTCACTGTTACAGGAAGCACAACAAGATCCCATTGATGGGAACATTCGAACAGCGAAAGACCATTCGAGCCTGTTCTACTATCTACTTAAGTAATGGCTGATTTGTATTTCCCTTTGAAGGAGACAGTTCTGGTTTTTTTTTAAAATTCACTCATTGGATGTGGGCATTACTGGCTGGGCTAGCATTTACTGTCCAACCCTGAGAAGGTGGTAGTGAGCTGCCTTCTTCAATTGCTGCTGTCCATATGCTGGAGGTTAACCCACGATGCCCTCAGGGAAGGAATTCCAGGATTTTTTGACCCTGTGACACTGAAGGAGTGATGACATATTTCCAAGTCAGAATGGTGAATGGCTTGGAAGCGACCTTGCAGGGGACAGCCTACCCATGTATCTGCTGCCCTTGTCCTTCTAGATGGTCATGAGATTGGAAGGTGCTAGGTATACAGCCTGGGTGAATTTCGACCTACCTTTCTGTGAAGTGCTTCTTGACATCATCCCTGATCAGCCTGATTAATCTTATGGTAATCATCTTCAATGGAGGAAAATTGCTCATCCTTAGATCATGTTTAAACATGCTAATTAGATCACCTCTGTTTTTTCAACATTTGAGGAAATACAAGTCTAATCTGACAATCCATTTACACATTTTAACCTTTTTATTCTTGGAAAAATTGTTTGAGGCATTAAAATTGGCCAGGGCACTAGAGAGAACTCCCTTGCTCTTCTTTTACATCCAACCAAAAAGGGAGTTTGAGGCCGAGTTTAAAGTCTCATCCAAAAGACAGCGCCTTCAGTAGCACAGCACTCCCTCAGCACTGCCCTGGAGTGTCAGCCTGGATTAGGTGTGCAAAACCTCACAGCAAAGACTCAAACTCATGGCCGTCTAATCTCAGATGCGAGTGCTGCCACTGAGCTACACCTACGAGAGGGAACACAAGGTCAGTTTCCCATTTTGACCAAACCTGTTTTACAATCAGTATCATCAGTTCAAAACCAGTCTGCTAAACTGAAAGCCTTAGGATATCACAGTACTCTTCAATAAGCAAGCGTTTGGGAATTTCAAAACACACTAGGACTAACTATTTTTTCTACCACATTTCAAGCAACATTACCTGCAAGATTATTAATGAAATCTTGTCATCAATACTCCTTGATTTGCAAGTCAGAAGTCCTTGAATGGGGCAGTGGTATCGTTATTTCTACAAAATTTTAACATTGAAGTACTGCTCAAAGATGCCATTAAAACCATCAGTCAAAAGACTTACTTTTTGCTAGCTTCTTGGACGGTGTTGTCATTTTTAGCTGCTCTAAACTATTATCATATTCACCTGACTTTGACTTTGGCAAAATCAATTCTTTAAAAGCAATGCTCAATCCTGGACAACACTGATCCTCAGCTAAATGGAGTCTTAATGGAAGGACATGGTCTTGTGGCGAAGAGGGGGGTAGTGACACACAAGCTGATGAAGTCAGCAGAGAGAATTCATTCTTTTAAAAGAAAATGTACTGGCACCAGGAAACATACTTTCAATTCATTTAATGAAAACTGAATGCTCCATTTAAATAGATCTTTGCCAAACCATAGTTACCAGGGACAAGTTAAACAAACATGCAAGACAGAAGGGGAGAGAGGATTACAATGTTAGATTCCTATGAGGAAAGACAAGGAAAAGTTTTGAGTGGAGCATACAGACAGATTTGGCAGAATAGCCTGTTTCTGTGCAGGATGCACTCTGTAAATCCCAACTCACAAGTGGTAAAAGCATGTACTTTGCAATCTACAGACGGCTCATAACAAAATTCAAAATTTATGGCTACTGGGTTAGGAGGAACATTGGCTGGCACACCTTGTGAGGGGAAATCAGAAAATCCTGCTGGAAACAGTGGCCACTTTAGAGAAGTCTAAGGCAAACAACTTTAATGGCAGGCCTATCCTTGAAAGACATTATATTCATACAAAATTTTTCAATGAAGTCTACATTTTCATGTTGTTATAAACTATTAGAAGAAGGCTCGTAATTGTGGGATCATTTATTAAAATGACTAACAAGTACATGTTAGAATTTCTGGGGTTCTAATAGCCAAGGATCCACCTTCAAACCAAAAAAAATGCTGGAGATCACTGGATCAGGCAGCATCCATGGATAAAAAGCAATCTAATGTTTTGAGTGCAGATGACCATTCATCAGCATTTCACTATTCATCAGTGGTGTTGGGCGGGAGAATCTGTGGTGGGGGTGTTTGTGTGCTGGGGGAAGAAAGGATGTTGACATTCAGATTCTCACATTCCGATCACTTAATCTGAACGATCAACATCCTTTCTCCCCCAACACTCCCACCCCACCTCCACAAACACACTTCATTCTAGCTCTGAAGTCGTCTAGTCTCGAAGCGTTAGCTTGCTGTCTCTCCATGGACGCTGCCTGACCCGCTGTGATCTCCAGCACTTTTTTGCTTTCAGTACAGATTCCAGCCTCTGCAGTAACTTGGTCGTGCAAGAACTCGCCTTTGACAGATTCAAAGAAGCATGAAAGCCATTGCGTCAGCCGTTCATTTTTAGAAAACTCTTACCGATGACTGCTGAAGGCCGCCCTGCAGTCTCATCTGGTGCATTCGTAGTTTGTTTCGAAATTGTAGCTGCAGGGGTGTTGGCTGCTGAGCGGCTGCGGCGGACCGTTGCATGTAATGCACCACCGCGGGCTGGCTCTGAGCCCCGGCCACCTGCGGCATCTTCTGAGCAGGTAGGTCAGGGTCAAAGTGCGACAGCGGCTTGGTGTTGCTGAACGAGAGCTGCTCGGAAGGCAGGGAGTTCTCAGTCACCGGGCCCTGGCTCAGGCCGGCCGGCTGCTGCACCATCATGGGGATGCGGTTGGGCTGGCTAGACGGCGCCTTGTTGTAGAGGTAACTCTGCATTGTGCCGCTCGAGGCGGGGATGCTGGGCAGCATGGCGCTCGGGGGGCTGAACGGCTGCTGGTGCAGGGAGGGGCTCGGCAGCTTGTCCGGCTGGTAGGGCGGGGAAGGCCCGGAGGAAGCCACTGAGGGCCAGTTGGCCGCCTGGCCCTGTTGCGGGTGTGACTGCTGGGTGACAGAACGCTGATGCTGGCTCGCCGCTATCTTCTTCAATTGCTGGGCGTGCGACAGTTCATGCCAGTTGGTCCCAACTCGGTTGGCGCTGGTGCTGGACAGCAATGGCGGCTGGGCCTGGTTCGTCCCTTGGTTTTGTGACGTCGAAGACATGGGCAGTGGCATGGTGTTGGGCGGTGCCGGTAACGGATATGAGGTACCTGTCGACGGGGGCCTTCGCTGGGGGGACCCTGCCGGCGCCTGACTGTAAATGGGAGAAAACTCTCGGCTGGGTATGGCGTTCTCCAGATGGGAGGCCGCCTGAGGCGATGGCTTTCGAGTGTTGCCCTGACTTGTCTGCGCGAGGCCCAGGTTCAGCGGGTCGTTCCTGTTGGTCAAAAGGTCGAGTTCGTTGAGGGGAGGATTCGGCATATTTGTCAACTCCTCCAGAAGGTCCTCCAAGTCCTGATCCATCGTTTGCATATTGTTCACCCCCTTGGAGTCAAACGAGAACATGCTGTGACCATCCCCTACACTGGGTTTCATCTCCGCATTGGATGTCACGGCAAATTGTGAGCTAATGTCATTCCCGTTGGCTTGGTTGCTGCCCATGAGGCCCGCATTGGTGCCCGGGGCTACACAACCCAAAGAGGGGCCCATGGAGGCAGGAGTCTGCAGGGCCTGGCTGCGGTGCCCAATTGGAAGTGAGGAGCTTTGCACATCGGGGCGAAGGACGCTGGAGGCATCGCCCTGACCCATCGAAAGGCTGACATCGTCAAGACAGATCCTTTTAACCTCGCCCGAGAACGTGCCATCCGACAGATCATTGATTTTGTCATGACTGGCAGGTGAGCCGTTGCTTTCCAACTTCCTTTTTATTGATCCTTGGAGCTGAAAGAAATGAGAAAGAACAAGACATCAGGTTATGCCAATTCTGGAGAAGAATAAATGTCCCACACACAATCAAAAGGAGGCTTCATTATCCATCCCCACATCCCAAATTGATTGAAAGGATCCATTAGAAGGATTTATCAGACCTTCTCATCCTCACAGATTAAATCCTTTATCAGTGCATTGTCTGGGATTTATATCTATCATTGTTGCTTCTCTCTGCAAACAATAAATATTGTGAATCTACCATGGAGGGCTGTGGACGCCCAGACTTTGTGTTTAAGGGAGACATTGACTCATTTCTGAATACCAGTGGCATACAATGTTATGGGGATTGGATGGGTAAGAGGCATTGAAGTTTTAGCCCAGCCATGATTGTACTGAATGGCCTATTTCTGACCTGTTCTATGCAGTAAGGGATCACTATAAATGCACTGAAAAAAGAGTCAACTAAATTGCAGAAATCCTTGGTTTTATGGGACAAAGCTCACAACTATTATTCAATCTGTACCAGATGAGGTGAACACACAAAAGAATGATGTAATACAGCAGGAATAAAGGCTATTAAAAATGGGACGCACTTAACATAAGCTCAAATGCAAAGTTAATTATTGGCTAGGAACCAGGTCAATACTTCATCCTGATAAAATGGATAAACAAGAAAAAGAGCAGCAAGGAACTGAATTGCACACAGCAGGTTGTTAGAGCAAGGAATGTTTGCCACGTATTGTTGTTGACGCAGAGACTAACCTATCTTTTAAAAAAGGGAGAACAGATGAACGCAGGGTGGAGACAAGACAGTGCTGGGCGGTGCAGTTAGTTTTTGGAGTGTTCAACCGAAGAAGCTGTAAGGACACAAGTGACCAAAATGCCTCCATCTGTGCTGTAAACTGCTTGAGTTCTGTATTCATAAAACAATCAGAGACACTTCCAGGCACATTAGGGTTTAGTTACACAATCGCTGGAAAGTCCGTGTGCAGTGGGATCATGGTGCAGCCTGAATCCAGGCTTCTAGTTCAACACAAGATAGGCATGAGGAAATCTCACTCCAAGCTGTGTCTGTACTTAAATTTGATTTGTACATTGCAAGTTTAATGTTGATTTTAGTGAGCAGTATAAAAACACATTGTATGTTGTATCGATGGTAATTTTCTGCAGAGTCGTGCTTTCTCATCTCCTGTGCTACCATTGGTGAGTATTTTTAAGAAAGGAACAGTTATACAGGTTTACTTAGAGGCAGAAGCAATTCCTTTTCCCCACTCATCTCTCAGTTTATCCCACTATGCTCAAATTTTAAAAAAAGAGCTCAGACAACCAACAACTTGTATTTCCATTATCCAAGGGGCTTTGAAAGAATAGGTGCGGAGAAAATGTTTCCATTGGCAGAAGAGTCTGCAACCAGAAATACAAATTTAAAACAAGTGTCGAAAAGTCTGGTATGAGGAGACTTTTTCAGAAACAAAACACAATGACTTGTTATGAACTGGAATGTGCTCCCTGAAAGGGCATTGGAAACAGATTCAATCATAACGTTCTGAAACAGATTGGATCAGTATTTAAAAGGGTTGCAGAGAAAGACAAGGAGAGTGAGACTAACTGGATAGCAACTTCAAAGAGTTAGCACAGATAACATGGGTAAATGGCCTTGTTCCGCACTGTTTTATTCTATCTTTCTATCAGGAGCCATCCCAAGGCTCCTGAACCAGGTGCTTATAATAGTAACTGATGTCTAGGAGGCAGAGAAGCAAAACCATGGTCATCTCTGCTTTCAGAAGCACCTCCACTCCCTTCAGCATCTTCCACAGAAAACGTGGCAAAGATTAGGAAACCAACACGACTACAAATACCTTCAATTTGCTGCACAAGGCACTCTATGCTCTCAACATCTGACCTGAATATCACAGTCAATATAATTCTAAACCTTTCACAGCAGGGCACTGTTCCTTAATTCAAGTGTCATCTAAAATGGTTTTGTCGAACAGAAAACAATCCTAAAGTCCAAAATATTGTCAATTACTAAACCAAACAACTTTCAGTGGTCTATGCTATGTTATTGCACAGATCCAGAAATGCACCTTTAAGACTATTAGATAACATTATGATATGATGTCCCAGTATAAAGGTCCCCACCTCCCCATCAGCACTCAGTGCAATGGAGTCAATGCGGTTTGAAGTCAGTCAGCTACCTTATGAGTTATAGACATGTAATGTTGCTATAACACCAAGAAGCATGGAACCCCGTCTGTGTTTAAGTCTGAGAACTTGTAACGGCGTAAATAGTTAGTGTTGCTCACAAACTTCAAAACAGCTGACTCAACAAGAACTCAGTCTTCATTACAAGGGCAAAATACTGGGTGTTGGAAATCTGAAACAAACATAGAGAACACTGAAGACACTCAACAAATCTGGCAGTGTTTGCAGAGTGAGAAACAGAGTTAATATTTTGAGTCTGGTTTGATGCCTTCAGAACTGAAGCCTGTTCACTCTGAACGGAGTTAGTTTTGAAGAAAAATCAGACTAGACTCAAAACATTAACTCTGTATCTGTCTCTAACAGAGATGCACCAGATTTGCTGAGGTTCTCCAGCATTCTCTATATTTTCGCTGTTACAAGGGCTAACACATAGGGAAACAGTCAGATAATGTCATACTTGCACAGTGGTGTTGACTCAAGAAACCACCTCAATCTAAATGAGAGGGAAGTGCTAATTGATTGGGAAGTGGAGTCTGATGACTGGAGGCATTACCATAAAGAATGCAGCAGTTAAGGATTATCACCATCATTAACTCTCTTGCATTCTCATGGCAATGCCTCTACTCATCAGAATCCATTTCCCATCCAATTAGCATTCTTTCAGTGTAAGTGTTGGTTTTCTGGTTACATTGGTATTCTTGCAAATTGTCCTGATGAGTGCAAAACAAAAAGCTTGGAGAAAGATGTGCCTTTTCTCAGGATACATCAAGTTCTGAAATACAAAATGACTGTTATACAGTTAAGGATTATCTTTGATGTCAGCATTCATAACGTTGAGAAAGCTTTGTAGTTTTGTTTTTTAAATTCTGCCAGACCCTCCCCATTTACACTCTCCCACCTGTGCACCCACACTTATTTCAGGCTGATGGGAAGGCCTAAAACTTCAGCCTTTCAATACGTTTTGCGACAGACTGCAGGGAGCTGCATAAGAATAGCCAGGGGCTGAACCCACTAATTTCACTTCCTTCGGCTGGAAAGCACCTTGTATTTTCCTCCTCCCTCAGTCATGATTGTAAAAGCACCACAACGAATGTCCGCATCGTAATTTGATAAAAGATGGAAGGGCTGTTTTTCCAACCAAAGAGATCCCAATGTTATCCCCAATTATACCTAGAACAATTCCAAAGCCCACATCTTTATTGCTCACCGAGAATGTTTACTCATTTATATCCCACTTACTCTTAGTTTCTACTTCTGACGTTTGAATTTAAAGCAGCATTCTGGGTTGAATCATAATATAGAAAATAGGAGTGGGAATAGGCCATTCGGCCCACAGAGCCTGCTCCGCCATTCAATATAATCGTGACTGATCACCCAACCCTATACCCTGTTCCCATTTTCTCTCCATACCCTTTGAACCCTTTAGCCCTAAGAACTGTATCTAACTTGTTCTTGAAAACATTCAATGTTTTGGCCTCAACTGCATTCTGTGGATTAGAATTCCGTAGGCTCCTCACTCACTTTTATTGACTTTTTCTGTATCCTTAATAATGTCTGACTAAACTGTCACTCATTCAATGCCTTCTTTCCTGACTAATTGTATTGTCACTGGAAACCCAAGCCATTGTTGAGTAATAGCACTGGGGGAACTTCAAGGACCATCCATGGGCCTTTCTATTTCAGACTTAATCAGGGTGGAGTCAAGATGGAAGTGGGGTCCCCACCCATCACACTTGTTTAATACCCCCTCCCACCAAACATGTAGGTTATAGCAGAGGGCATGAATGTACTCGAGTCAAAGTGAAATAGTACAATAGCACTGCTCTGGTATGTCAGGCCTGTCTGCCATGCTTGGGTCTATGGAGTGGGACTTGAATCCACAACCTACAGATTTGTGAGATGTGAGTGCTATCAGTGGAACCATGGCTGACTAAACCATAATATCCTTATCATAGATTTAGCCACGATTTCATTGTATCCTGGCACGATCACCCCATATATTTCAGCTAAACGCAAAGGACCTGATCATCTGTGGGAATGATACACCAAACAGCACTGTGTCGGTGTGGTCTGATTGTCCAAGCTGCTGGGAGGCAGTCTGCGCTGCTTGGTGTGCACTGCACTGTATGGTCTGCTGAGGTTTTCTTCCGGGGACAAGCAACAAGCTGTGGCTGCTAATCAGTGAACTCCAGCATCGTTTAATTAAAACAACCAAAAGGTGCCCATTGCATGATTGTTCTCCCTGGTCCAGGACAAGTTGTCAAGCTGCCTGTGTGTAAAAATTAACAATGAGTTACAGACACAAGTCAAAGTGAAACCTTGTTGCTGAAGAAACACAAGGTTCTATCTAGTGTTCAACTCTTGCTTCCAAAAAAAAGTCTGCATTCACTTGTTACAATCATTACCATGGCAACCAATTGGTCCTGTTCTCCAGCTTTTTCTCACACTGCAAAAACACTCTCATCCTTTGGTGATAGCAATAAATCGGACAAATTCTTGGCTGGATGTGTGCTTACACTGTTTGCACCTCAACTGTGCAGCATGTTCAGTTTTGTGAAGTTCCACAGAACTGTTATTTTATCCTTTTATGTAATTGGCCAATCTCTAATGCAAAAATATCACACTGTATTTTACCTTTAAATTATAAGTGACTTACTCTGCCACATTTTAACACACTGCTTTCATCAAATTTTATAAATTAACCAAACTGTATTAATGCCTTTAAATTAAATTGACTTAGCCCAGTCTTTTTTATTTTAAAGGGATTATTTAGCATATATTTTCTTTGGCTGTAGCTTAATGGTTAG